AACATTGTTGCAGGAACGACTTCCGTGAGCCAAAGAAACAAAGTATCGGAGCCACATAAATTACAACTACCTGTAACCAATATTAGCTCGAAAACAGCGCAACTTGATACTGAAATTTACACGCTCACTTTAGCAGGTCAAGCTAACTTGCCAACATGAGATATTAAAAACTTATTAGGTGATAATCGCTTTTCGTTCAAGAGTACTTAATTTTACCAGATTCATTCAACATTCTCATGTTTGTAACCAAGTTCCCAACAAAGTGATTAATTGAAAGTGCTTCCATGTCTATCACATTCGGCAGGAATTTTTTTGGTTAATTTTGAACTTTTTACAAAATTTTCGATGACAAAAACTCCGCACCAAATTAAGGAGTTTTCTTCCAAAAGTTTTCAAGACTGCGTTTAATTTTTCGCTGTTTCTCGATTGAACGTTTTTGCTGATTGATTGTACAAACTGTGCCAGAAATACAAACATAATTTTGCTATGTCGAAGTTGATTGACTGACCAATTTTGTATATCGATTTGTCGATGGCCAAAACCTTTTAACGAAAAGCGAAATAAGTATGTTATTATTGATGACAGCCGTGTAATTTATATAGTACTAACTTTAATGGATCATGAAATGTAAATATGTTTTTGCTGGCTTGGACAACTATATTTAAATTAAGTGTATTTATAATTGATAATGGATTTTCTCCTGCTGAGAATCGCTTACTAATAGACAGTATTTATTACTCGGGTGAATATTTATGAGTATTGAAACACAATAAATAAGCGTTTATTTTTTTAGCGGGCATTTAAGGTAATCTATGTAATATTCAATAAATCGCTCGAGGGCATGTTTTCCTTCCTTTATAATTAGCCAATTAAAAATGCAAATATCCTAGGCACTGGTCAATTTTGCTTGCAAATCATACAACAGGATGCGGTTTTAAAACTTCCATTTTTAAATGGATCATCATTATTCATGGAATAGAAAATGACTTCGGAGCATAAGCTCAGGGACAAAATACAATTCCTCACTTTCTTTCCATAAGAAAACCGATTACATTTCACAATTGAGTGTAATTAGTGAAATGCCTGATTTGTGCTCAACTGTCTGATCTGAGGCATCTGAAGATGCTAACTTTTAGAATTATTTCAATTCCAATTAATGCCTCAATTCAAACCTTTCATGCGACATGGTTGTTCGCGATTTCTTTCAGTTGATACCCCGAGGATTATTGACTATCGAAAGGAGGCAGCATTCAAGAAAAGCAATAGATTTTCATGTAGACATGCAAATGCCAATGAACAGCAATAATTTAGCTAAACCTTAAAGCCGTTGATGCAACTGTTGAATATGCAATTTATTTTGAAAAATTCCTGGGTGGGATTTGGGCTGAGCAGGAACTATTTTATTTAAAGCTTAATTTAACGCGGCATTGACTCAATTAGACTCCATCCTTATGTAGGTACCGATACTTGAAGGTCTCGACTATCGCAAAAAGATGCAAATGCCAGTTGCGTCATCGACTGTAAGCGTTTTGCAATTCACTTCTTTATCAAATCGAGCCTAAAGATCACCAAATTTGATAAAATCGGTTAAAGTGTTATATTGAAAAGGTGGCGCTGAAGGCCGAGCTTTTGTAGCCACTAAGTAAACAATGATAGCTTAGCGCTATCATAAGCAACTCGCTTACAATTTCCATTGCAAGCTTAATTAGCTGTAGCTATGGGATCTCATTGCGCTCCACTCGATAGATAAATATTTATAGGTTCCTAAAGTAGCAAAATTCGTGTCTAGAAAGTTGCGACACTAAGATACACGGGGTTAACCCGAGAAGGTTAACAAATAGTTCGTTAAAAAAAATAAATAATTGACTTGAAAATGCGATGACAATTATTACACGGGGAAAACAGCAAAGTTCACAGATAATTTGCCGGTCGACCGAATATGCTTTGCGGCTATAATTAAAGTGTACGAATTACGATGTTGTAATGATATACTGCAATCAAAAGTTGGAATTTTCAAAATGCAAATAAAAAATTCTTTGAGTTGAGAGATTTATTACTCTAGCTGGCCATTGTATAGGAGATTTACCTTATAATTTTATTGGCAGGCGTTTTGTTTGCGCTTAATGGATTTTGTATGACCTTTCAACTAATGCCAATCCAAACTATTTTTTTCAAATAAATATTATTCTTTCATGGGTTTAGTTAATTTGGATTTTAAAAAAATTCTTGAGCGGTTTCTAAGGAACTCTAAACAGCATTCTCGAATGGACTTGTTTATTTGAATGCTGAATTCCCGTCACATAACTTCAAAATTGATTGTCTAAAAATGTTAAGTACCACGGTCGAAACTACATAAAATTTTCCACCTGAACCAAGTCATGACGTGAGCGCCTGCCAGTACGAATGCAAGTAATTCATTTTTACGATATCCATATTTTTGAAAGAGAACTTTCAATCATGACATTTATGTTCTTGCTTGAATTAAGTTATTTACCGAACATATAATGAGCGCCATTGATCGTTACGAGGGATATTTACTAGTTGCACTATTTGAAAATGTCAAGCAATGAACCGAATTTTAGTGAACTTTCGGCGATTGAACTCTACTTTAGGTTTCGCATTTTTTGCGATTAAACTAATATCACATTTAGAAATGTTTTTCGGGCTTTGAAGCCGTGGTCCATGGCAATTTCTTCCTGACGTTTCGTCCACAACTGCTGTGGACATTATCAAAGGCGATGAGGCAGTGGGCGAAGTGATCTCCCTTGCTTTCCGACTAAGACTGGTTCAACTACTGGATCCCCTGTGCCCGCATAAATACGACAGGGGATCCAGTAGTTGAACCAGTCTTAGTCGGAAAGCACGGGAGATCACTTCGCCCACTGCCTCATCG